CGGAGGGGTAGGCGGGGCTGAGCGCTCTTAAAGGGGCCACGCTGTTCCCGGGCTGGCAGGGCGGGTTGGGGAGGGACTGGAGTCTCCTGATTAGGGGGCGGGCCTGGGACTGACTCAGCCCAGCCCTGGGCGGAGGCGGGACCAGAGTCCCCAGGCGACCCTACCAGCCCAGACATCCCATCTCACCCATGCTAGTTCCCTGGGTCCCTTCCACCGTCCTTGGTCTCCTGGGAAGCAGTTTGGGTGTTTTTAGTTATACCCCTTCCCCAGATAATGGACTCCCTGGGTGAGCCCTGCGGCCTGTCTCCAAGACAACTCAGGAAGCGATAGGGGCAGGGGCTGCAAAGTCACCTCCGGTGGAGTAGACCTCCTTAGGTCAGATAAATGAGGCGGGCTTCCTACCCCCAGGGCTGGCCTTGGGAGGGGAAGATGGCTCTGTTACCCCCACTCAGCGACTGGCTCCTCATCGAATGCGCTTTGTTAACCCTGACCTTAGGGGAACTTGTTTCTTAGATGAGGACACTGAGGCTCAGAACGGTAGGTGGGTAGCTAAGGCCCATGAGTCTGTTGCTGCAGCCCCAGCTGTGGTAGGGAAGGGCCAGTCCTGGACCACCTCTGGCTGTCCAGGTTGGGCACAGAATAAAGGCAGAGGATGGGCGGCAGCCTGGCTCTGGAGGGTTAAGAAGAGCTTGTTTCTTTTTAAACTGCAGAGGAGGGATCTGGCCCTGGCTGGGACCAGCAGGGAAATCCTGCCCCCAGCTGTGGCTGGGCGGGGCGCCAGGCCTGGCTAGGTAGCGGCCTTGCTGGCCAGGCGGGCAGGGCTGCTTGAGGGGAAGCACCACCACCAAAGGTCAATGCTAAGAACTTTAATAAAGCCCCTACTGTGTGTCAGCCCTGCTATGCGCCCTTGACCTGAAGAAACCAATGGGTCACCTCTATGAGGGACACTTCTTATGCCCAAACTTGGGCTCAGTCAGAAGAGTAGCTGGTGGAGCCGAGATTTAAACAATTACCCTCGTTTGAGGATCAGGGGCATTTGTTGAGGACCTACTGTGTGCCTGACCTCCTGGTGCCAGGCTGTTTATGTACATCATCTGGACTAAGTCCTCATGACCTTTCAAAAGATGGGCTCTCTCTCTGATACCCAGCTGGTGCAGATCCCACTCTACCTTTCCTCCAGCCCCTCCCCCGTGCAGAGCAAGGAAGGCCAGCAACTAAAAGTAGTAATAGTTGCGGAATAGTAAGAAATTTAATTCTCAAAATAATCCTATGTGAGAGGATTTTTTTGTGTGTTCTTTTACAATTTAGGGAAACTGAGGCCCAGAGAGGGCAAGGGATGTGCGTGGTTAGCAGCTGTGTGGGAATCTGACTCTTACTCATGTCTACCTAGACACAGGAGAGGTCAGACTGAACCTAAGCCCTGCTGTTGGTCATTGGTTGAGACAGTTAAGCTCTCTAAGCCTCAGCTGGACCATCTGCAAAATGGGGCAACAGTGGTAGTTTCATTATAGAATTGTGAAAATGTTATTACTTAGCCCAGTGCAGCCAGAGCTGTGTCCACTACTCCTCTGAGGAGGTGGTGATGGGGTGTGTGTGTTGGGGGGGACTTTTTCCTCTCCACCTCCATCACAGAGGCCCACTGCTCACCAGATACGTCAACATTCTGATTCTAGGACACGTGGCAGGTGTGGTGCCCACCAGTGTGGCCAGACCCACAGCCCAGGCCATGGAGGGCCTTGGTTTCAACTCCCTCTGTCGTATGGGGACCTCTCCTCTTCCTTGCAGGACCAAGGGGAGCACAGACACCACTAGAGGGATGAGAGTTTTGGGCTATGGTTGTCCTGAGCCCAGACCCCAGAGGGCCACCTCTGAGTCCAGAAGGCTGTTGCTCGCCCGCAGGCTTGGGCCGGCCCTTGGACAGCGAGTGCATGGTTGGGTTTTGGGCCCCCGCTGCTGGGTGCTGGGGAGCAGCAGCCTACTGGCCTTGGTTGCAGCTGGAGCTTGGATGATTCAAGCAAAGCTCTCACTGGCAGGCCCGAGCCCTGGCACCAGGCAACTCAGTCCTGGCTGGGTGCACCTGATGCTCTCCAGGCTAGACTGACCTGTGAGCACAGCCCAGGATGAGTGAGTCACCCGCAGGGGACTTCAGGCTGCTCCGTCCAGATGTGTGTCCAACCATGGCGACTGCTTCTGCCCTGGCTGTGGGGTGAGTGACCCCAAGCTTCCCTGAGCTGTCTCCTGTGTCCTCCATGAGGGAGAAGCAAGATCAGAAAGCCCAGGAAGGCCTGCTTTCCAACCAGCCATCACGCTTTGTCTCCCTGCTTGCCCTGCACCTGGCAACTCTGTCAGGAGGGGGCAGGATGGGGAAGCTTGAGAGTCAGTGGTTGGCCCCTGGGAGACCTGGTGTCTGGCCTTGTCGTTGCACTGTCCTTGGGCCACGATCCTTTCTGTGGAGCAGGTGAGCCAGTCCCTGCGGGCCTTTGTCCACACGTGGGGCAGAGATCAGTCTCCCACTGACCACGACCTTTGCCTGGGCCTGCGGGGTGTGGCCCTGGGGGACCATGAGTGTGAATGACCAGGAACACTTGAGGGGTTGGAGCACAGTGTGGAACCGGATTCCCAGCACTCCCACCCCATCCCTGGGCTTCTTTGAGACAGGGCTTGGAACCCGTGCTGCCTGGGGGCATCTGAGGTGAGTCCAGACGTTTTTTGGCTGAGGAACTGGTCTGCCTGATATCAACACCTCCACCCTAGGCCCGGGCACCTGGGACCTAAACCCTTCTCTAGGCAGGGACGCGAGGCCGCTCTTGGGCGGCCTCAAGGTCCAGGCAGATGGGCAGTGCCTGTCGCACGTGGTGGTTGTCCCTGCAGTCCAGTGAGGGCTGCTTGTAGTTCCCTTGCAGTGGCTGCAGGCTGGGGAGGTAGCTGATCGGTACCCATTGCTGCTAGGTCCCCCAGCTTTTAGGCAACAAGATACTCTTGTGGAGGGGAAAGTAGGGGAGCGTCTCATCTCAGGGGGCTGCCTTCAGCTCTCGCCCCATCCTCCCACGATGGCAAGATCTGCCTTCTCACCTGAGCAACAGGGGCATATGCTCCACCTACAGGAGTGGTTAGGAATTGGATGTGTTGAGGCAGTGCTTGGCTAGACACAGGGGCCCAGGGATGTTTTGGTTATTGACATTTTTGGTTATGTTTGGGCCTCAGGGCTGTGAACTCTGGCTCTGATGCCTGTCAAGGCTGAGGTGGGGGCATCCTTGGCCCCATGGCAGGACTGCAGGGAAGAGAGCAGAGCAGGGCAGCTCAGGTCACAGGGGCCTGAGGGAGGCCTGCTCTCATGGGGACTCATGGGTCTTGGCCAGCGTGGTAGAAGCCCCTGGAGGGTTTCAAGAATGGCAGGGACTTAAGGTGTCAAAAATTCAGCCTCTGGGGTGGAAGGGCTAGAGGGGCCTAGGGAACCAGGGAGCCCAGCCAGTGTGGAGGTGGGTGGCGTGGTGTCTCTTGGGCTGTGCTGTATTTTGTAGCACGTGATGGTTTAGGTTGGGGTCTGAGAGAACGGGAGTCAAGACTCCAAGGTTCTGGACAAGGGGACAAGCACTTCATTTGCTGAGATGGGGTGGAGGAAGGGGTAGGGCAGGATCCAGCCCAGCTTTAGGCCCACTGGACCCCCAGGAGGAGCTGGCACCTGGGAGGAAGGTGTGATGTCAGCAGCACAGTTGGCCGGAGGTCAGCCAGGCAGTGAGGGGGTCAGAGGAGCCCCAACACCAGCCTGGGCCCCCCCCCCTTCATTTAAAGGTCAGGAAGAGGAGGGCAGCAGAAGCCAGAGAGCTCAGAAGGAACCATCACTGATCTGGTACGCGGAGGTCGTTACTGTTGCAGTAGAGGCAAAAGCCTGATTAGAAATGGGCTCTAGAAAGGGAGAGGAGGTGGACACAGAGGAACCTCTTTAAAGAGTTTCAAAATTCAGTGAACAGCCTAACTCCGTAACATCAAGGAAGCACCAATAACCTGAGTAGGAAGAAAATTATAAAAATGGCCCCCCATCTTTAGCCGTCAGTCACTGAGGCAGGCCTGCCTTGTTCTGCAGTGTGTGGAGCCTCACGTGCCCCCAACCCCGCCGCTGCCGGGAGGGGCATTCACAAAGGGCCTTCAGAGGGCTCCCAGCCCGAGACCCCAGCACAGTGCTCCCGACAGCAGATCAGAGGCCTGGGCTACAACGTCCCCATGCTCTGAGACACGGCTCGGGGCGAACCCCCTTTCCGTGCCGGCGGCAGCACCGCGTCTAGCACTGCGCTGTCTGGTCCTGACGGCCCTGATTCCCCGCACACTCCCCACCACGGCGCCTGAGCCAGCAGCGACCTGGGTGGAGGGGGAGGCTCCGAGGAGACGAGCAGCGGCTGCGGAACAGAGGCTGAGAAGGATGACTGTTTATAAACATTTGGAATTTTATTTAAAAAAAAAATCACAACCATGAACATTGTTACAGTTAGAGGCCCTCTTGGTTCTCCACAATGATACTGAGCATGCTCACAAGGGGTTCCCATTGTTTAGTCTTAAACAACCATCTTTAAAAGGAAAAAAAAAAAAAACTCAGCACACTACCATTTAACTTGTTTTAATGTTTCTTCACAAATGGTGAAAAATACTAAAGTACAGACAAGGAATAATCATAATGTTGTGGCCAACATTATAAATATGGAATTATAAATTTAAAACATTTTCTGGTTTAAAAAATAAATCTGGTATCAATGCAGCTCTGTGGGGTCTGCGTCTAGTAGGGCCGGTCTCTGCGCTCCTGGCGGTGCTCT